ACACAGACGCTCCATGTTTAAAAACGTCTGTATCAGTGACCTCCCTGACTGTGTGTGTGTGTGTCTCCCTGTGTGTGTGTGTGTGGGTNAACCTTTCCTTGAACGATCTACACTGTCTTTACTGCTCCTTTAAATATAAACTGCTCACAGTTAAATATTAATAATAATAATGCATTACATTTTTTTTTTTATTAGAGCGCTTTTACAGGTGCTCAAAGCGCTTTACAAATACACATTACACATATTAGACATGTAAGAGTCATTACTGTGGACATTACCCACAGGAGCAAATGCGGGTAAAGTGTCTTGCCCAAGGACACAACGGTGTCAATATTCAAGTCGCTATAACCTGATGAAATGGAAACCAGTGGCTCCCTGGAGTATTCATTGGTCAGTCTAATAATACTGTTATACGAAACAACTCAACAGGAAGTAACTATTATGCAATGTATTGTAGAGGGGCTAAAACATGCAAACAAATACAGCCTTGAGGTTGGAGTTCATTGGCCATGGTAATAAACTATTTTAAGCTCCATTTAGTTGCTGTCCTGGAGCTTCTAAAACTGTTTTGAGTGTCCTTCGAGGATTTATCATCTCATGTTGACATGTGATGTGGGATCAACTTAGTGAAGCATCGATCAAAAAGCTCCAGAACAGAAACTAAATCAACCTTTCTGTCAGATTATCTTTGTGAAGAGAGATGGTTTGGAAGTTTTCAAATGAATAATGTTCTTACTAAGTGCAAATGTTATATTTTTAATATCATAAACTGGAAATTGTGAACTAAAAACATTTGATATTGAGCTCATTGATTGTGTATTGTTTGTGACGGTTTCATAGTGAAGATTGTGCACTGACATACATATAAGTGGTTTGTAAACATTCAAACTTGAAATAATTTGAATGAACCACCAATACTGACTCGTGCTTCTTTTGCTTAAATTATGAACTTGATACATTGAGAACTTTAAGAGGTTTTCTGTCACGTGAACATGGATGCAGATGGTTTGAATCTCAAAAATATGCTTCTTTGAAAGGAATATGTTGGTTTCATTACACAACATGTCACATTAATGACAGCACACACAATACAAAAACATTGTGATGTGTTTAAGGACAGTGGTCAACTTTATATCTCGGTAGTCAAAATCATAACCACACTACACGTAATGTGATCTAAATCCTTTAGTTTGTTCTGCTGTTGTCCGCTAGAGGGCGCTGATAACAAGACACAGTCTCATTACGCTCACATTCATCTCAATAGCCGTACTTTGCCGTACTTAGTTCCCAGCAGTTAGTACTACCCAGAGCCGTATAATAGAATATTCTCTCTATATGGCGCTGGTACTACCCCATTGGACCAACAGAGCAGATCGCGTTCACACCGGAATAAATTCCCTGGGAAGATTACGCAAATGAAGCCGCTGACGTCACTTCTTCTTCTTCTTCTGCTTTGGGTTTACTGGCAGGCCCCAAACAACTTCACGGCGTATACTGCCACCCAAAGTCCTCGGCCGGAAGTCCTCGGAGTTAGGGACTGGTTTCAGTAGAAGCTGCTGGGACTCCCAGCAGCTTCTACTGAAGCTTTCCGAGTAAATCGCCAGAACGCCGATACCCCCTCATCTCCACCGCTCCCATGTTTTCTTTTGTGTTGCCATCAATTATTCTCTCTCCGTTGGTGCGCGGGGCGAATGCTAATGCTAATAATGCTAATGCCAGCAAATACAATGGCGGCTTCACAAAACCGGGGAAAGTACTCCGGTGTGGAAGCGCCTGAATAAAGAACATTTAAAAACCTCATGGGAAAGATGTTTAATAAAATCAGAAGTACCGCTTATTGAATTCAAAGCAAACTAGCAGCAAACAAGTATGTATCTATCTATAAAAAATATCATTAAAACAAGTAATACAATAGTAGGCCTATTCCATAACATAGTCATAGTATAGTTTGTCATAAAATGTTATTAAACTAGTCATATTAGTATTCTATGAAAAAACTCATGAGTTTAAAGAACGACATACATCTATGTCGATTTGTCTGATAATTTGTAGTGTATTATCTGAAGTATATAAGTGTAGTTTAAGAAGTGTAGTCAAAAGTCTGAATATTACAATATACGGTGAGTAAATTTGAGATGCAGGCTGCTTGTAATGAATCATGGTGAACAAGAATCCATCAATTTATCAAAAACTTGCATATCCCTATTATATATTGTAAAGACTAGTGCTCTTAGTTGTTTGAGTCTTCACATTTTTATTTTAGAATTGTTTTCATTTATTAAAGTATTTATATTAATTTAACCTCTATTTCCACAGTGCAGGTCCCTCTACCTACTCAACCAACACCTTACTTTTTTTGAATCAAGAATCGAGAGAATGTGGCAAGCTTGCAAATTTTATTTTTCACGTGTAAATGTCTGTTACTGATTGTATTTTCTCATTGTTTTG